TTTGTCCTGTCCTGTCCGGTCCGGTCCCTCGGTGTCCGTGGTAGTTCAGGGGACCTTTTGGCCGCGGTATTTTCAATCCGTCGTAGTGCGTTACTCGATACAGTTGCAAGCGATCTAATCTATTACAGCGGACAAAAGTCCTCCGCGGACAAAGTCTCTCGCCTGCGCTGGCTTTATTATTGGTATAAGATTTATTCGACAGTTGCGGAATTTGACAAGTTCTGTTGAGACGCTCTTGAGTGACGCCGATGTGGACCTTGTATTCCAAAACCGGAAAATGACGTAGTAATTATACACACTACATCAACAAAGTACAAACAAGTACAAAAACTAAACTCTTATTAGTAGTACTCAAGGGGGTAAAAACTAACAAGATTGCATTTTTGTTCCCGGACATACGTGAGACACTCAGAAAGTTTTGAGAAACCAAAAAACTAACTTCTATGAAAAAAATATTTTTATTTAAAGAAAATATAACTAGAAAAAATTCCACGCGGACCAGGCGCACTGGAACCCGCACCCTTCATTGTGGGTTACCTACAATGCGAAGAAATGGCACTGCCTTGCAGCTTAGGAATGGCAAGCGAAGGGTCATGGTTCGAGTCCCGTCTGCAGCCTGGTCCGCGTGGATTTTTTTCTAGTTATATTTTCTTTTGATTTAATTAAACATCAAGCAGTTACATGCCTAAAAAATAAACTATATTTTTATTTATTACCAAATTTAATTGGCTCTCGAAAAAATGCGGAGGAGAATTTGAAAATCGAACAGTGGTATTTTTACTTTTAAACAATCGAAATTTTCAAAATCATTACAAGTGGCCAGTGTCTAAATACATGAAAACTTTTTTTCGCAAAACTTTCTGAGTGGCCTGGTAAATGATACATCCCTTCTCAATGATTGACGCGCACGAATAATTTTTCTTTACATTTTCTACCCTTTGTACGGCCACACCATAAAAACCGGCAGATTTATATTTTTTCGTCATCAAAAACGTTACGTGAACCCTCCAGTAGCTCCTATTCAAATCAAAAGACTGGAGATTTGGACGCGACCAAGTCATTGCCGATACTTGCATTTTTTTTCTGCAAAAAAGTTATGAAGTCCCTGTAGCATGAGCACCAATTTACATTATATCAGGTTTTTTATCGCATTTAACTGTCAAACTCTAAGGTAATTTGACAATTGAGCGTGATAAAAACGCGGTATATATCATATCGCGGTGCTCATGCTTGGGGGGCAAGTATAGTGGAAGTACTTCACACGCCGCAAGGTTGCCCCCTTATGTTATTCTGCCGCGCTTAGGGTTGCTATTTAAAAATTTGAAAAGTCCTGACAAAAAGCCGGACATTTCGATAAAAGACTGGACATTTTAATCACAAAATGCAAACATCACCTACTTAGTTACAGTGATATTATACGCGTGGTAGCTGACGCTCGCATCGCGAGGGGGGTCTCATTATTGATTTTTAAAGCTGATTTATATTGTGTTTTAAATTAATAAGAACTTAATGAAGATTATTTGACTTATTTGATAAAACTTTATTAGTAGTTTTACTAATATTCCATCTAATTAAAATAAACCGGACAGAGTCCGGACAAAAGGCAAAAAGTACGAACATGTCCGGACAAATCCGGACGGATGGTAACCCTAGCCGCGCTCAAGTAAATCCGAAAATCCCCACTTGGGCTCCCATAAGTAGTTTTTATAATTGTTAATTATCAACTGCCTTAATGTTTTTTTTTTCCTTAAGAACCTACAAAATCTAGAAAAAAAAACCGGCCAAGTGCGTGTCGGACTCGCGCACCGAGGGTTCCGTAAAAACCGGTAGGTATATAATCATTATTAAAAACCGACGGACGATCTCTAAACTAAGTCAAATCCGGGGAGACTCGGACGAATGGCAACCCCGCTTAGTAAGAAGTTATATAAAATAGAAAGACTATTGTTATTATAACAAGTAGACAATTGCATCAGTTAGATTATAAACTAATGGTTTATACAATAATAAGGTATATGATGTGCGTGACAGATACGATAATATACTTGACCAAGACAATGGCACTCACGAACCCACGATACAGTTATTACAGTTATACAATAGGACAACTTTTGTGTAACTACCTACTTTTGCATTTTTCAAATTTCCGTTCTCGCTTATGAATCTTAAATTGGTAGAAAGCCTTTCTACCGAATACACTATTGACTTGCACCATGAATGGTGCAGATAAAACTGACCCCTTTCTTTCCTCGTCATAAAAAAATTAATGTTCAAAAAAAGAAATCAATACTGAATAAACAAATAATCTCCAAATCCTCGCAAAAGTTCAAGAAAAATTTTACTCATTGTTATTACGTAAATTTACTTCATATTTACAATTATTGAGATAAAATTGTTTAATTAATTTACAACATGCATAGAGCACTAGGTACCTACCTAATTACATAACTGCATTCATGCCGCAATTACATTTGGTCGTTAGCTGAGCTAACGAGCTAACTTAGCTTGTATTCGGGTGCAAGCAAGACATTACTCGAATTCGGGCTCCCGAAGCAATATTTACACTGGAGACCTACTCTATTTCAACGAAAAACGAAATTTCGCACGTTCCTTACTCTGTTTCTATGGGCTCTTTCAATTTATGCGTTTCTTGACGGCCTGCTGCGAGGCCGAAGCGGTGCGTTAGTCGTACAGTGTACCGACGATTCTTTTTTTTCATACAAAACGCGCGGTGCGGCAACAGTCCTGTTGTCGAGTGTTCGCGGTACCGGCGCCGATTCTCTAAGCCTACTCTAATTCACAAAACTTTTGAACTAAAAGTTGAATTTGACAGATAATTGTTCGAAATTTTAACCTCAAATTGACGAAATGAAAAATGTTACCTTTTCATTTTCGTTTTGGGATTTTTGTTTAAATTAAACCTAAAATTACTACTACAGTATTTTTATTTTAAGGCTGCTTAGCGTGAGGAACATTTTTTAGTATGAAAGATTTACAAATAAATCAAATTTTATTTATTATTGTATTGCCAATACTTCAAAGTGTTACACGACAAATTTAGGTTGACATACATTCGATTGCATCAACTCTACAAATTAGTCGGCTAACACTGTCAAAAGAGGTTGTTTTAATGTAATCAAAAATGTTGTCATAAAGTAATAATGTTTTGAAGTAAATAACGTTATCTAAAAAGTGTAGACGAAAAAAACTCACAAACATAACTCATTCCATTCGTTCACGATAATTGTCTGTGATTCCGAACCTTATGTGCCTGTTCGAAGATGAAATAGAGTAGAGTCACTGGCGAAATTTCGTTTCGAAGAGAGGAGAGCTCCTGGGATATGGGCTGGCAGCCAGTGTCGTGTAAACAAAAGGAAATCTACCTGAATACCGGCATACTCGACTCAGTTCTTATACACTTAGTCGTTTACCCGAATTCCACTGGCACTCATATTCGAGCTAACGACCAAATGTATTAGCGCCATTATTGTATAAGTATCATCACAGTGGTGCAGATGACTGCACTATGTTTAGGTACTGTGGTTCATTTTCCCCAATATTGGTTCAAACAAAGCTAATCAGCTTCATCCGCAGCATCAATGGTGCATTCGATGTACCGAATTGCAAAATTCCAGATTTGGCTGACGACGATTTGTTCTTCGAAAATTAGATACTTATATGTAAAATTTTATCCATAGAAGCATAAGTGTGGCCGCACACGGGCCACACGCCACGTTTATACTATGCTTCTATAGTTTCTTTTGTTTGTAAATCTTTATTAAATCTCCACACTAGATGTCTTTAGTGGTGACAAAAAATATATATTGTTTTAAGCTTTCATGGTCACTAACATTACAGTAATATGTTATTAACGGGATTGTCACCATGTACCTTGTTTTTAGCGAGTTTCCGATATTTCGGCACTGTTGCAAGCGCCATGATCACGGAGTAACTGAAAACTCGCTAAAAACAAGGTACATGGTAACAATCCCGTAAATAACTTAAATTAATAAAAAAAAACAAATATTTTAGGATTTTTTAAGGGCTTCCAGTTTCTTTGAATAACAAATTATCGAAAAATTTTACTCTTTACGCTAACTTCATGTGCTGCCGTCTGTACTTACCTAAAATCTACTTGACTCACACTAAAATATATTTACACCCTCCTAGAGTCTGTGCGGAAAGAGAATGGGATTTAGATCGGAGGGCGCTGTAGTGCTTTTCTACTGTATTTGTAAGGTTTTACCCCTTTTCGACATGATTAAATACAAAAACCGCAAAAAATCACAACAAAAAACAAATCCGTATCAATACAAAACTTTGACATTTTACTGATTGCCGGGTTTGATTGCCAAATAAAAATCTTAATTTAGTTCCATTTTTCGCCACGCCCATTCGCTTTCCGCACAGACTCTATTAATAAACGAGGAATAAGCATAGACTAATTACGCTGTGTTTTGTTCATATCACTCAAGTGCATTTTTTTATTTTTTTATAACCAGGTAGGCAAATGACTCTACCCCAGTTGATGTTAAGTGGTGATAAAGTGCAAACGCGAAGATAGCTCAGTTAAAAAAGTCCAGCAGTTAAAATCTGCTACATTTTAAAATTGAATGAACAGAGACAAAACATAGAGTAACTTATCCAAACTTATTCTTTGTTTATTAACCGGGACCTCTCGAGTCGGCGACACCATGAAACCCGGCGTACAAATCCCGGTGAGGGCAGATGTTTGTGTGATGAATACGAGCATTTGTACTCCAGTCATGGATGTTTAATATGTATTTCTATATATATAAATATAATACTATAATATAATAATATAAACGGATAGAATACATTATATGTACATGTACAGTATATGTATTCTATCCGTTACCCTAGTATCCCATATATATCCCTAGTATAACACAAGCCTTATAGTGCTTACTTTGGGGCTAGGTTAATTAGTGTGAGTGTTGGAAATATTTATTTATTTAATAGGAGAAAATAGTACTCACTTGATGTATGGTTATGACGCCAGCCTTTTCAGTCATTGTTTAAATCAAATTAAGAATAATAAATTACTAACAAAAAAACAACAACAACGCAACAAACAAAAATAAAACTCTAATATCACAGATTGAATAAATTAATTAAAAAACGCGATCACAGCATTACTATATCACTAATCATCTTCGGTGTCCAATTCCCATAGGTCGGCAACACGACTGAGCAAATAACGTATGAAACTATCGACCAGTTTGTAAAATATGAAATTGTAAAACACAACAATCCACCAGTATTCGATGAACGTTCTGAAATCGTATAACATTAATTTTTACGACAGTCTCATGCCGCCACACGACACGTCCGACCCGCGCGACGGACTTTAAACGAATGGTGTGGTTGTGAGGTGATCCGCTGTTTGTAATGACATGATGCGTATGCGTCGATATAAACTGTTGTTATAAAAAATCACTTTGGACTTTATTAAACGGGCCGATAAGATAAGTTAAACATCGCAGATGTGAACCGGAGGTCGAGAAGTACATAAATAACTCCAAGACCCGCTGTCACGTATACGTTCACTTATGTCATAACTTTTAAGTATGATAGAAGTTTTGTCAAAACACATTTTGCTTCCCACTATTCCTGGTTCTATAAGCATGAAAGCATAACTAAGTTTATGATGATTGGATGAATGGGTTACCTATAATGCGAAGAGATGGCGCTGCCTTGCAGCTTAAGAATGGCTAGAGGAATTTCGACGCGGTCCGTGAGAGCCGCGGTAGCATAATTGGTCAGTGCATTCGCCCGGATTGCGAAGGGTGCGGGTTCGAGTCCCGTCTGCTGCCTGGTCCGCGTGGAATTTTTTCTAGTTACATTTTCTTTAGATTTTTTAAGTTTATGAGTTTGCAATATCCTCAAGCATTTGTCTTTTATTTTCCATAACTTAAAATTATAACTTATCGCCATAGCTTCATTTGTTTTATGTCTGTGTTATCCTGAATGTGAAATTGTTATTGTACAGGTAAAAAGCAGATGGACTTATCAAATTAAAGCTATAACAAATTATCCTCTACACGGGTCCACAAGAAAAGCAGCACTGAGGAGGGAGGAATGGCGTCGCTTTATGCGGCAGGCCTCTGACTTCGACGGTGACGCTGAAGTAACGGCCACTGAACCCGTCGATAACGCTGAAGTAACGGCCATTGAATCCGTCTATAACGCTGAAGCAACGTCACAACCGCTGTGCCAAGAGTGTAACGACAAAGAAGAAAAGCAGTTATCCTTATAAGGTACAAAAAAATCAGATCTTCTACTATAAATAAATAAAATAAATAAATATTTCCACACACACACCAATTAGCTAGCCCCAAAGTAACCACTATAAGGCTTGTGTTATGGGATACTAGGGCAACGAAAAGAATACATATACTGTACATATATAAGTATATTTATATATAAATACATATTAAACATCCAAAAAAAACATATTTATGCACGTAATTCATCACACAAACATCTGCCCCCACCGGGATTCGAACCCGGGACCTCTCGAGTCGGCGACACCATGAAACCCGGCGTACAAACCACTCGGCCACGGAGGTCGTCAAACTTCAACGTGTGTTGAATTACCATTTGACATTGGCGGAGCTGATGGGATATCCAACGTACATTGTGGGTCAAACTAAACACGGTCAAACCACAACCTGCACAAGTGGGGACATAAGGACACACCAGCCTGTGAGTGCGGCGCCCCGGACCAAACCTTATTCCGCGTTATCGAAGACTGCCCACTGCACCGTTTTCCTGGCGGCTCAAAGGAGATTAACGAATTGACGCCTGCGGCCATAGAATGACTGAAAAACTTGAAAACCGAGGTTTGGGACGACGCAGTTACATCGGCCATACGCTATGATGATGATGACGGAACTGTGATAACTCACAAAACAAGCCTTTTTTAAGAAGAAGTTTCGTCAATTTGTTTACGATGACCATAAGACGATAGCCACGCACCCACCGGTGATCTTTGATGATGTCAACACCACTATATATAGAGTGAGATTATATACCTACATATAAGTATTACATAGATCAGAAATCTGTGTAGATTTTAATGTTAAGTCTGATGTGTTGTTGATGTACTTCCGATGTTATTTTGAATTTTATGTACTAACATAGGTAGGCAAAAGCTACTGTTGAAGTACCCAACATACCTACTAGTATTAACATAAATTTCAATAAAACACACCACACCACTACAATCACACGGAAAAGTGTTGGATTATTTTGTTAAACAAATAAGTAAACCTATTATGAATGAAACAACAAACATTCAAATTCGACTTTTGATGTAAAAAATGTGCCCTTTGTTTACTGTGGATTTAAACCAGTGGATTTTATATTATTGTAGTGGCCCGCCTTCGCTTCGCTTCGGTGTAGAGCTGTAGTGTAGGTAGACTATAGTTTTTGTTCTCAGGCTTGTATTATACACAATGAATTTCATTATTGACACAAGTCTGCGAAAAAAATTCGTTTTAAAATTTTTTTGTTAATTATTAATATTTGTTTTAATCGTCTTAAAAATAATACAAAACGGTATTTATATGGTAAATATCACGTCACATTTATCAGATTTAGATGATATAGTATTTGAATAAGAAAAAGAACAAAATTAAAATTTAATAAAATTAATGTGAATCATCTGCACGTAAATGACAACTTACTCGTATGTGACTGAAAACATTTAATTTTTAGTAGCTCATTCTGTTCGCACTACAAAATAAAGCATATCGGCCGAAAATGTCGGGCGTTAAATTCTTAATTAGCGAAAAATCGGCTAAGTAAGAAAACAACAATGGGTCGAAAGTTTGATTGGTCCGAACGGTAACCACTCTTAGGGATGGCGTGCACTGCGACAGGGCGTGGGAGGCAGCCGCCTCCTTCTGCGAGAACGTCATCTCGCAGAAGGAGGCGGCTGAGAGGGAGCGGGAGGATGATCCTCTGGCCGCTCCCTCCCGCCAAAGGAGGACAGGTAGGAGAGGACGGCGGCGCGCCCTGGCTGCGCCCGTCCCATGACCCTACCCGAGGGGTCCCTCGCTGACCGGCATGGCGATGGCCGTGCCGGCCACCGACGGACCCCGTGACGGCAGCCCCCCCTTGTAGTTCTGTCCTGCAAAGAGGGGGGCGGCGGAGGGAGCTACACGGGCACGCCCAAGTAGCCCTCCGCAGCGGACGGGGGGGCGGTACGGTGGGCACTAGGCCGCGTACTCAGCCCCCGCGCGCGGGCCTACCCGCGCACGTCTGCGGGGTCCCCGCGATACCCCGGGAGACCCCTGCCGTGGAGCCCCGGCTTGGCCGGGAGGCTGCTAGGTGCGGAGACGCGGAGAATCCCTAAACGGGGATCCCGCGGCTTCGCGCTAAGCAGCTTAGAGGGTATTCGCAGGACTTTAGGGATGGCGTGCACTAGGACTACCTTCCACGAAGAGGGGCTATGTCAGCCGCATATGAGTGAGAATAAAGGCGCGTCAGCACTGGAGAGAGCTCTGGAACACAAATTTTCAGTACGCTAGCTGCGATTGCATCCGGCCCACTAGACTTCCAGATATCGAGGGAAAAAGGAGCTCGCCGCACAGCGCTTTGGAGTAAAGCGGATGGTGATTTTGCACCTTGCAATGGTAGGTATGAGGAGCTCGATGGCGCAGGTGGTTAGCACGTTCAGGTGCGATCGTTGTAGTTAAGCAACTTTCGCAGTGGTCGGTCATTGGATGGGTGACCAAAAATTTCTATCTCAAGTTCCTCCGTGCTTCGGAAGGCACGTTAAGCCGTTGGTCCCGGTTGCATCTGCAATCGTTAGCAACCGCCAATCCGCACTGGGCCCGCGTGGTGGGTCATGGCCCAATCTCCCTATTCCATCCATAGGGAAGGTCTGTGCCCCAGCAGTGGGGACAAAAAGAGGCTGATGATGATGGTGATAAATGGTAAGTGGTATATTTCCCCTGTCATCGAGTCGAATTCGATGCAAAGAGTGTGCCCAAGAGATCGAGTTTCTCGTTTGCGGTGTGAGCTTGAGAACCTCCTGGCAACGTAAAGGCGGCAACGATGACCACCAACAAAAATTGCCTTTTTTAGCTTTGGCGAGCGTCCAGAAAGCACAACTCCCAGTAGGATAACTCACAAGTCTTTCGCCAGTCCTGCCAACATGTTCGAATTTTGCCCATTTTATTTGCTTTTTAAAGGACCTCGAAGCAGTGTTATACGGCTTCTTCGAGTCAGATGAATTATTAGCCTTATTCTCCACAGTAGAAGCCCAGTGTAGGGGTACCAATAAACCTTTTAGGCCTCGGCTATAAATATACCAAACCAGGGCTGAGTTCGGCCGCCTAGTAGGACCACAGAATTTGAAATGAAACATTCCATACCTTTTAGAATCACATCAGTAACAAGCGCCGCGTTGGTGTTAGGATCATCTGAAGAGAAGTAAATCTGCTTCCTACCCTTGGGGGTACGAAGCAAAAATTCGCGCTTTGTTCTCCATTCTTCGACTTCAGATATAACTAAACAGGTAATATATTCTTCGTCGTGGGCATTTCCTCCCATTCGCACGAAGCGTTTTGCTTCCGCCTTCATTTTGCGAACGGCTAGGGAGTGGAACTCCTTGCCAAGGTCTGTTTTCCCGGACCAATATAATCAGGATATCTTCTAGGTCAGAGTGAACAGGCATCTTTTAGGCAGACGTGTACCATCCTAGGCCTCTTCATCGCTTTCTATCAAGCGAGATTGTGGTCAAACGCTTTGCCTATTATGCATAAAAAAAAATATATAACATAACGTAATGAAATTATCACGACAACACCGTAAATAGATCACTAGCTATATAAATATTTATGATATATCATCTCATCATATTTACAGATGTATTCTAATTAAGTTTGGAGGTGTGGTAAAAGTAAACAAATAAATGTTTGTTACTTACATATTATAAAATACAAATGAGGTCAGACAGCGGACGGTCAAATTTTTGTGAATTCGATTTTAAGTTTGAAATTAGTAGAGAGAATTGAAAAGTTGTAGTATGGTAACTTTTCAAAGAAACAATATTTCCATTTACTATACTTATGTTCTTCCAGTAATAGTTGACTCATTCGTTATACCTAAAACCCAAAGAGCACGATGTCGTCTTGCTATGTTATCAAAGTCAAATGAGGTTATAATTAATTTATAATAATAAATGCACTTGGGAAAACCTTATAAAGAACCTGATAAAGAGAAGTTAGTTACAAGTGGAACGATCTATTTTAATGAATGGCATAATAAATCATAATAGACTTTATTGTTGTCACAAGACTTAACTGTTGGTATCTTTTATTCGTTTTTAACTAGCGCACTTTGTAAAAATATTTAGCAGGTACGTTCAAAGATACGATTTTAAATATCTATTTTAAATATTTTGGATAACTACAAAATTTAAAAATTCTATAAAAATATGAAAACAAAGATAAGTAAAGAAATAGTCCGCTGTCAGGCTAAAGAACTCCCATCCGCCTTTTGCATTTCTAAAGATGACAACCCTACATACCATTGAATGTCAGTCAACACGCTACGTCAAAGGAAGGATACGTCATTTTAGAATAAATTTAAAGTCAGACGTGCTAATAAGATTGGTAACTATTATAAAATTTTAGATTTATCAGTAATCACTATTTTATTTTTATGTAAAACGAGTGGCCCGCCCTCGCTTCGCTTCGGAGTAGACCTGTAGTGTAGACTAAATGACTCTTCATATAATTATAAAAAAAACTGAAAATGGTATATTTGCCTTTTCCAAACTTCTATTGACATCACGTCACTCAATTGTTTTGCCTTCCCGGAACCTCTTCACTAACATTTGAAATTTATGGTATGGTATTAAAGTTCAAATTGACTTTAAAGTATTATTACGAATCGTTTGTATGGGAGTATAGAAAAGTGCTGTTTTCGGACTTTTTCAGACATTTTTTAAAATTTCCCCTCGTACTTCAAAAAATATTTTCTTAAAAAAATAATTATCGAAATCGGTTCCGCTGTTCTCGAGATTTGCGCTTAGCAACACATGCAGCGATTCATTTTTATATTATAGAAGGGTGGCAAATAATCGTAGCCGTCCCGTCTGTTGATAAACGGCCACCATAAGCCGATAGACGATTGAGATACCAATAATATCACTCACACCGTTGCCTTCCCTGACCCAATCACCTTATCATCTTATATATCATACTAGCGGCCCGCCTTCGCTTCGCTTCGGTGTAGAGCTGAAGTGTAGACTACAGATTTTTGTTCTCAGGCTTGTATTATACACAATGACATTCATCTATGGTTCTTCTTATACCTGCATGCAAAGTCTCAGCCCGATCGGTTTGAAATTGACAAAGTTGCATACCTTATTTTATCCCCTTGGGGATAGAATTGATCAAAATCCTTTCTTAGCGGATGCCGACGTCATAAAATCTACCTGCATGCCAAATTTCAGCCCGATGCGTCCAGTGGTTTGGGCTGTGCGTTGATAGATCACTATGTTAGCCAGTCAGTCACCTTTGAGTTTTATATATATAGATTTTTTGAGCAACCCGTAGATACGTAAAAACTACCCGGTCCAGGTGTTAGCGGCACGATCCCTTCTCCTCACGTCACTTTGCTATTCACCTCTCGCTCAACAGTTGTAATGATACCTATAAAAATAATTGAAGGAAACTAACTGTAATATTGGGGATATCCAATTAAAGACGGGCGTTCAGTTCAAGCGTTTATTGCGGACTGGCGGGAAGCGGTCGCCCCCCCATCCAGCCTAAAAAGTTACCCACTTTAATCGCTACGATGGGTGATGAACCCTATGAATTACTCGTTAACTTAACAAGTCCGAAGAAGCCGTCGGAGTTAACTTACGAAGAGGCGGATAATTTAATGCGTCAGCACCTTCAACCGATCCCATCCTCGTCGCCAATTTAATATTAGGGATATCCAATTAAAGACGGGCGTTCAGTTTAAGCGTTTATTGCGGACTGGCGGTAAACGGTCTCCCCCATCTAGCCTACTATTAGCCTAATATTAATTATGTTAATCGTATTTGTACTTAGCACAGCGAACAAATCCTCGCGTTTTATGGCGAGCTATTTAGCTCTGTAATTGTTATTTTTGATATGAAATAAATAAATAAAAACTACCCCGTAGAGCCTTCGTACTTTAGTCACCGTCTGAAACAAAACACCACCAAAAGGTAATATTAATACTGCGATCTTCTCTAAGGTGGATTATACTTTCCCAAACAGGTGCTTCAATTCGAGTGGAATATCCCCTATGCCCTACCTGTCTTTCTTAATTCATTTAAGATTTCATAATTAAAATGATGAAAAAAATATTTCATTAAATAAAACTAGTTTTTAACGGGTTAATACATGAACTTTATTTATTTATTGACGTTTCGCAGCCTATTCAGGTCTGCATCGTCAGAATAATGATTTTTTATTTACTTTGTCGAGCTAACTTCGAAAGACTTATTGAGCGTTCGGATATTTCATTGGAATATTTTTAAAACTTTATTGTCTATATGTATGAATTTATTAGTTAATTTAGTTAATAAACTACTTTATTTAAAATTCTTTTTGCAATTTTGAGTTTATTTATTTGACCCTAACTACCGTAAACTACCACCGGTTCCAAAATTGGGAGACCTTTCTGAGAAGAACCGGCAAAACAAATTCAGAGAGGCTTTCATCTATATATCTATATTTATTTCACGTCGGCAAATCAAATTTATTTATTGTCAATTAAGATTCTTTGTACGCGAGTTGAAGTTGAAAAATTAGGGGAATGCGTACGTAATGCGCGGACACAGTAAGTACCACAATGTAAGTAACACTTTTGCAGTCGACTGTACGTTTTTTTAATGTAAAATTATTCAACAATGTCAAAAGTCAGCTGAATTCGTTATAAAACAGAGCGTGTTGACGTATCTACCTATTGTCACTTAAAAAGTTATTGCGTCAAAGAACTGTGCAGTACCCTTAGCACGAATCAATATCGAATTCGTATCGTTTGCGAGTCCCAAATGTCATTGTCAAATGTGTACTAATTTTTAGTTCTCGTTACGTACTTTGTGCCGCTGCTGTATAAGTTTCCATACAAAATTTGACATTGACATTTCGGTTTGCAAACTATTTCGAATTCGATAATGGTTCGAGTTAGGGATACAGGTCGATGAATCAAAGGCTCCAGTGTAAAAACAGAACATCCATCCATCAGCCTTTCTCCGTCCACTGCAGGATATAGGCCTCCCCCATAGAACGCCACAATGCGCGGTCCTGCGCTATCCGCATCCAGCGAAAACAGAACATGAATGATGAAAATTATGTCAGTTTCCAACAAAGACATGCATTTTTTTGGCCCGGAGAAATGCGTTGGGCATACCCCGCCGCTGGGCAAGCGACGGGGTTATGTGGGACTGCTCTTCCCACCTCCCGCCTACCCACTCAGCCAACAGCCCTCAGGGCTGACTCAGTGGCTGCTCGGGATGGGGGGGGGGCTACCAACTAAAACTCCGGGATGTGCCCTCCTTGTCAGCTGTCAGCGGTGGCGGCATGGGATCCTTAATGGGAATCTACCACGTCGCCGCCGGCAAACAAAGACATGCCTGTGGCGGACTGGCTAATGTCAATCTGTCCACTCAAGAGGAGCGGAGTTTTTCTGCAATATTATTGGTTAATATTTCTCCGTTTCTCCGCTCCATTGGACAGGCAGCATCACGTTCGCTACGCGTGCCTAATGCGTATTGGTGGGTGTTAAACAACCGCCGTTGCAAACGAGACCGAGTTTGTAATGCATTGGCACAGCACTTCCAACTGGCTACAAGGGCTAGAGGTGCCCCGGAGCCTTATGAGCATCATCAGTAATTGGCAGGGAAATGTGCAAGGCAGGGTCTGGACTGGACCTTCCAAGACTAAACCTATTTAACCCCTGCCAGAATAGACGACAGACCTGGGCAGTCTGCAGACGTTACTCGAGACCTGCAAGAACATCATTGGCCTGGAGAGCTACTTGGGGGAAACTGGGATATCAGAATAAAACCATTCTAACCAACCTAAAAAGGGAAGAAGTGTCGAGTTGTAGAAAAGACACGCCTTTAGAGTCCACGTTCCACGTTTTGAAATAATCTACCTTTTTTCTCGTTATATTTTCTTTAGATTTAAACATCAAGCAGTTACGTGCTTAAAAAATAAAAATTATAAATATAATAGGGGTGATGTCGGGGTACAGTAAACGAAATTCTATTTAGTCCGTCAGTTAGATGATCAAAAATAGTGGACACGTATTTTTTCTTTGGGCAATCAACCAAAAAATGACAAAGTTATAGCGTGTCAAAGTTTGGGAGTAGGGGCTCGTGACGTCACTTTTGAGTGAAAATTGTACTTGTTTAATTGTAAAACGTGACGTCATGCGAATTTTGAAATCAATAAATATCTGCAATGTTTATATTATGTGAAAAAAGAAAAAATACGTGTCTAATACTTTTTGATAATCTACCTGACAACGAAGAAAAATAAATTAGTCATCATCCCTATTGCTATTTCAAATGTTCAATACTTGTAATAGTATTTCATTTGACATTGTGGGTTACCTACAATGCGAAGAGATGGCGCTGCCTTGTAGCTTAAAAATGGCTAAAAGAATTTCGACGCGATCATCAGGGCCGCAGTAGCATAATTGGTCAGTGCATTCGCCCGGATAGCGAAGGGTGCGGGTTCGAGTCCCATCAGCTGCCTGGTCCGCGTGGAAGTTTTTCTAATTATATTTTCTTTAGATTTAAACATCAAGCAGTTACATGCTCAAAAAATAAAAATTATAAATAATCTACCTTATTTCAAAACGTGGACTCTAAAGTCAGGGGTAAAAAACGAGAGGTATTAAACGCCAAATCGCACGAACTGCAAACCCTTCAGTCGTAAACAGGAATCTGTGCATCGCCGACAATGTGACGCAATATAGTCAGTCATCATCACGAGAATAAAACGCGAAGTTATGCGTCAGAGAAAAAAAAAATAGAAAAAAAGAAACGTCAATAAATAAATAAAGTTTCGTGCAATAACCCGTAAAAAACTATTTTTATTTAAAAAAAAATAGGTTTACTTGCAGCAAATTTGCTAAATCTCGATTTAACTGGGAACTAAATTTAACCCAAACAATAATGGAAAAATGTTAAATCAAGTTGATGAGGTTTTTTCTGCGATCTTTTCGGCATACACGCTTTAATATACGGGAGTCTCATACACGAAAATATTTCGGCGTGTTAGCTCGAACCGGTAGTGGTGTCTTTCGCGGCTCGCGTATAACAAGCTTACAACCGCGTTAACGCTCGTCAGAGTTGCGCGTGCGGCAAAAAGTGCGCTTATACGCACTTACAATGCGCTTTAAAAAACGAGCTTATACACGCGTATAAAACCCCACTCTGAAACCGCCCTAAGTAGCAGAATAGATTGTTTTCTTCTAAACACCGGGTCTTCTCTATTTTCATTCATCAGTTCTTCATCAGTTTTTGAAGTAAAAACTTCTTTAGCGGCGTTGTACACTTTTTTGTAATGGGTAAAAACTGTAAAACTCTCGTCAGGACACGTGGCCTGATCGCGTCAGTCCTGACGTCTTGATTATTAATTCGTAAGACGAAAACAATAAAATTGGAAAGGTTGTTAACTTTCAATATATTGGACGAAACATAGTAATATTTTATTTTATCGTATTATAATAATAAGTCTCTGATTAGGACGTCCAGGTGGCAGCTTTATTGCTAAGAAAATGAATTTTATTTACAATAGATGTCGCTAGGTGCGTTTAAATGTGATTCATGTAAGTTGATTTTTCTGAGAGATAAACTTTTTAATGTAATATAAATTATCATGTTTGTGTACGATAGCGCAATAAAAAAATATTGTATTCTTCCACATAAATGATACTGATAATTAAAGCAATTCGTGCAAACATTATTCCCTAACCATTCCAAAATATCAAAAATGCACAACGTTAATATTCAAGTTTTCACTTCTGCCGGCACTCCCGGAGTGTAACCTGTCGTTTTTAAAAAGGGTAGGAAAGAAGCATAAGCCTGCCTGATGGTAAACAGACACCAAAGCCTAAAGACGCGTGCGATACCAAAAATATCAGTCGCGCTGTTGCCTATCCAAACTAGAGCTGTAACAAACCGTATGACCGACTTCAAGTAACGAATCGTTACTCACGAATACATTTCGTTACTCAAATGTGTCATACTGATGATGTCAATTTGATTCTGTGTATGGACGAACGAATTCAACTGCGCATGTAACGTTGATGCTTGAATTGAAACGGTTTGCTCATCATGTGTTTCGTAATGAACAAAAACATAATATTTTTCGTTGAATCGAATGTATTTAAACACTCGTTACGAAAACTTACGTTTGTATACTGCAAGAGCTCAACAGTTAAATAATAAGTATTATGAATGTGATGACAGTTGAACTTCAATCTAGTATACTATAATAAGTATAGTAAGTAAGGAAATTGATTAGACAAAGTTTGAAACTGAAATTAAAACAAGTTTAATTTAAACATACAAAAATGGGTTCCCAAGCTGGTGGTATATACCAACCATCTTCCCTATTGAAATTTGGATATTTTTTAATCTCAATAGCTTCGCGCATCATTCTAGGAACGAATCGCTGCTCAGTTGCAAGGATTTGTGGTTTATCAAATCTAATGTAATGGTTTGGTCCCCCTAATGCATGTTCACACACTGCAGACTTTCTGACTTTCTGAAGAAAGTTTGATTCTGACGACGTAACCTGTAAAGGCTACGAAACGTCAATAAATAAATAAAGTTTCGTGCATTAACCCGTAAAAACTAGTTTTATTTAATGAGTGATGTGCGTGAAAACCTAATACCCGCCATACACACTACGATAAATCGTTACGATTAGACTGTACAGTCCGAACGGTACCGATAAATCGTAGCGTGTATGTTATAAAACTGCACAGTTTCCTATACTAAACGAAATCGTATAAACTGTACCGTTCGAACTGTACAGTCTGATCGTAACGATTTCTCGTAGTGTGTATGGCGGGTATAAGAAACAAATATACGTCATATTATACGTAACTCGACTTGACTCGATCAATGCAGTGCTTCACACTAGTATCGAAAGTAACGAGTAAGGTAACGAGTATTGAT